ATTACATTTTTCATCTATTTTCCAAGTAGTTCCAGAGTACTTGATCTGTCTTAGAAGGCATTCCATATTTGCTGACTTTGCTGACATTTTTAAAGCACTACCAGGTTTGCAGTTTCCACTTCTTCTCRTTACATGATGATGAGCCATGTGTTAGACTGACTGGTTTGTCATTTTTGTTTTCTCTGCAGTCGTGTCTAAAAATTTCTATTCCTCCAGAACTGAGTTCACTCCAAACCATAAATTACAAAGCACAGTTAATAGTTTGGCAATTTCAGATCCAAGTTCCTTTTGAAGCCTGGGGTGAGAAACACATTGTCCTGGCAGTCAGGTACTGTACAGTTTATTCACYGGCTCCAAAACCACTGGTACTCAGTTTTGTGACTGTATTTTTTCTGACCATGCCCTTAAGAAAGGGTTTTTTTTGTGGCAATCACCTCAAAGTCTGCCATAAAGAGCAGTGATGTATAACAAGTACTTCATTTACTCCTGTTTTCCCTGAATGCTTCTGTTACATCTCTGTTGCCTGCTAGTTCCTCACATTCTCTGACAGATCTGTTCTTGATGTGTTTTGAAAAAATTATGCTTCAAAATATTTTTTGACCTGGTTTATTACAGGTTTTTTTTGTTGTTGTTGTTTTTTGGGTTGGGTTTTTTTTGGTTGGTTTGTTTTTGTTTTTGGGTTGTTTTTTTTTTTTTTTTTTTTTTTTTTTTTGCCAGAGTTTATGCTACTCCTTTTGGACAGAAGCAGAAAATAACAGTATTCCACAAGTGAATGCAGAAATGGATTTCACAAAAAGGCTTGGCTATTTCCAGTGGATATCTAGAAATTCAACCTTGTGGTACTTTTGATGTGCGTTAAAGGCAAATGAGTTTGTCAAAGGCTGGCTGGAGAAAAAAAGGACTTAGTGAAATATGGTACAGAAACTGTAAGTACGGATGTTTCCATTATCTTTCAGTCTCAGTGTATTTCTGAGCATTATCTGTTAAATAAATTTATAAAAGAAATACAGCTGGCCTCCAGACTGGATGATAGCTGCAMCAAGTTTATTACCACAAATTGCTTCACAGGATTGTAACAATTAGTACTGGAGCCTTATGGTATCAAGTATTGCACAAACTTAAAGAGAAAGTGAGTCCCTGTCCCAGGCAGCAAAACTAATCTGTCCCCATARCTTTGGACACTGCTGAACACTCATGTTCAGTATTTATGTCCATACTATGGACTSTGGATATATTAATAGTGATCCCAAAGTCATGTTCCAGCACAAACTTCTGTGCCACTTATGCTGAGCAGTGGCACATCCCACATGGGATTTGGCCAGCTTTAAAGTTGTTCCCTGAGTAACGTGTGTGTGTTCWAATGGCTTTGCTGAACCAGGGCCCTACTTTATAGAAAATGTATCTACTAATAAACATACACTGTGCTTGATCAAGCTTAGCGTTAAGATTAAGTACCTTATGTCCTCTTTTCACAGCTAAACTCCACCTGTGGTGAGAGTCATTTATCTTGAATTGCTTTAATGCAGTGTTTAAGTATGTCTTCTTGGCCACAAAGCAGTTTACATATATTTCAGCAAGAGACTTAAAATCTCATTCATATTTTTAATACATTTCTCTCACATAAATTATCACAGTTTGGTTGGCAGGTCTTACATGAGTAATAAGGTTCTTGGCACAAACACACACCACAGATCTGTTAGGTAAAGGAGAAGCTTTTGTTTGCTTCTATATTTACACAAGAGGTTAAACTTGTACAAAATGGTTTAAGATACTGATGTTTTACTAGCAGGACAYGACRAGTCGTGAGATAACATATCCTCGCSAAAATGCATCAGCAGAATACAGATAAATCCCCATACAGTGGTTTGAAAATTAAACTCTTGCTAYGCAGAGTATCTTCACAAAACAGCTTTCATTGCTTATGTACACAGGCAGACAACGGCCAAAAATTTGCTGTTATATGAAAGAGCCATACTCCTGAAAGACAATTGAGCTGAATGCACTTTTTACAGGAGAAAGGACTGTGCTCTTTTGAGTAAATAATGATAAAGTGACATTTTAGTTTGCTTTCTCTCTTTCATTCATAATTTTGGGAAGTGATTGCTCAGGGTATGTAACATGTAACTCAGAATTCTGCAAGGTAAGWTTTTTTGCTAAACTCTGCATTGTAAGGTCTGAGCAATGTCTGTACACAAATATCCTGCAGTGCACTTTTACTCAATTGCTGTTGTCAGMGCATGATCTGGAGAACTTTGTCTCAATATCTGTTCAGTGCTCTTTCAATGTAGTTCTGACCTGAAATACTCTGCACATGGTGGGAATGTTCACTGCCTTGATTTAGGGCTTTGAATCAAGACTTCTGTGAGCAACAAAATGCAGGAAAAACAATGTAACAAAAGATGCGGAAAAAACAATTTATTGCAAGGAAATAACTTTGGAATGTATATATAATACCAACATGTGTTACAAATTTTGTGTTAGATCAGCAAAACAAATCCCTTTGTATCAGTACAAGGTTACATTTGCCAAAAAATTCTTGAGTAGTTCTGTGGTCACCACATCTATTGGTTTGGGCCTCTATCACACACTATGTTGAAAGTACTGTATTAATGTTTGTTCTTCTCAAATTGAACATAACTGTACATTTAACACAAACCATGCACAAGCAAATGATACGAAAATGTGAGAGGCAGAATTGGAAGCTTAAGTGCAAATGTATTAAAATGTATGTATGCAATTTGTGACTAAATTTGACATGAGCTGAATTATCGAGAAACCAAGACAACTCTGCAGCTAAGGATGCTTTAAATGCACAGAAGAACATATGCCCTGCTTGAGAGGTTGGCAGCAGCTCACAATTGCAGGATGCAGGATGTCTCTACATGCACCATAATCGGTTTGTCAGTGTAACTACAGAGATACTCAAGAAGAGCTGGAGAAACATGAATGCAATAAGGAATGGCACTGCTGATGCTGTGTGTTTTATTTTGGGGCTTTATGAAATCATCAGTTTAGGAATTGTTCAATGCAGGGRAATCATTCATGTATCAAGCTTTGTCATCTTATAGACTGTTGTTAATAAAATTTAAATCACCGTAATTTATAACTGTTTTCTACTCATTAACATTAAGAAGCTATTATTTAAAGTGCTCCAGAGATTGTGATCTGARATTTCTGCTTGACTGCCTTCTCCAAATTCAGTGTTCTCACCCCTGATTCAACCTGTTCCTGAAAGAAGTCATGTGTATATCCTGTATATCCTAACACTCACTCGGGAAATGGGAGAGATTACAAGTCCGTGGATTATTTAGCCTATTTACATGGAGGGYGTACGATTGCTTTATTAAAAGTAATTGGGGGAACATCCTGCTAATAGGGAAGGACTGTTTAAGCAAAAAGAACAAATCTGGCACAGGAACAATTCAGGCTGGAAATGTATATAAGGTTTGTAAACATCAAACGAATGAGATTTTAGAAATGTGTCCTAATTAAAAGAGAACATGCAAACTCCTTCAGTATTACTCCACATCTTGCTATGGTTAGGAACTGTGAAATCCAAGAACTCATTCCCAAACACTGAATTCAGCAATCTTAAGGATCTTTCCCAGCCTAAATGATTCTATATATTGTATGTGTCTGTTATTAGGTAAAGAACTGGTTGTTAGAGGTTGTATTTTAATAAGTGGACATTAAAGACAATTTTAACCAAACCCTTTCATACACAGTGGACATTAAAGACAATTTTAACCAAACTCTTTCATACACAGTATAAATACATCAAAGCACCTGGTTGTGTTAAATCATGTCTTTGAACGCAAACCTCCCCATGGGCCACATATGAAAATCTTTATGTGGCCACGAGGCACAATACATCTCATATCTGGAGAGCTCCGGCAAGGATCTACACGCAGCAATGACCCTCTGGGACATTGGCAGGGTGAGGCCGGGTGGACATGTGACCGAGGGTTACGACATTAAGACACCCCCACTGCTCCTCTGTGGCTCATTTTCTCCCTCCGAAAGGARGAGGTCAGAAGAGCAGCCTGCAGCTCCCACGGGCAGAGCCTCCCTCAGCAAGACTCCGTCCCACGGGCGAGGGAAAGGCCGAGGGAGAGCAGCGGCAATCAGGCAAAGGCAGGGACCGCAGCTGCGGGCCGCCCGCCTCACACACCGCTGCAGGGCGARTGACGGCACGGCTGGCCAATCCATGCTCACCGCCGCCTCAACCATGGCAGGTCCAGGCAATCAAACCGCCAGCTGCACTCTCGGTGCTGCCCCTTCACTTTTACGGACACACCACAGGACCAATAGCAAGGAAAGCATGGCGCCCGCCCTCCCGGCTCTCGCGAGCTCTCTGGGGCCGCCTCCCGCCCGCCGCCGGGTGACTGCGCAGCCGCCATGTTGGTTGCTATGCTGCTCCGCGTGAGGCGGGCGGGAGGGCGGCGATGAGGGGAGGAGGCTGCAGGTCCTCCCTCCTCCTCCCCCACGGGCGCTCGATCGCTCGCCRGCAGGGAAGGCGCCTCCGCAGCGCCCCGCCGCTCCACCTTTCCCTGGTCCCCTTTGCCTGCCGGCCGGGGCTGCGCGCGGGGCAGCCGCCGGTCCGTGTGAGGCAGCGCCGCGCCCCGTGAGGGACAGCCCCGTCCCGCGCGGCCCTCCGGTCGGTCGCTGTGAGGAGAGGGGGGAAGGAGAGGCCGGAGGGTGGGGGTGTCCTCCGCCTTCCCCCCGGGGCTCCCCCGTCCCCTTCTCCCCCAGCTCTACCCACCCCCCCCTCCCCCGCTCCCTCGGCCCAGCCGCCGCAATACGATGCGGCGCTCGCCGCTGCGACGGGGCGCGGGGCGGCTGCTGTCGCTGCTCCCGAGGCTGCGGCTCGGGCGGGCGCTGCGGGAAGACTGAGGGGGGGCGGCGAGCGGCGCCTCCGCACCCGGTGTCGATCCCGATCCCGATCCCGCGGGGGGTGCGGGCGCTCCGCGTGCCCGAGCGCCTGCGACGCGCGTGCCCGTGCGCGCGCCCGCGGAGGCGGGTTGGGGGTCGCGCGGGGCGGCAGCGGCGCGAGCGCGCAGCCCCCGCGCCTCTTCCCTCCGCGCTCCCCGCTCCATCTGGAACCAGGACGCGGATGTTACATGAAGGTAAAGGCGGCCGCTGGCGCGCTCGGGGCTCCGGGCCGGGGGGACGAGGGGTGCTGCGAGCCGCGTCTCTGTGCTGTGACCCCCCCCGCTCCGCTCCCCCTCCCGCAACTTCGCGCTCAGGTCGCCGCGGGCGGAGAGCGGCTCTGCCCAGAGCCCTTTTGGTGGGGGGTGGGGGGGGGGAGCGTGTGTGTGCGCTGTTCCCTTCGCTTCCCCCCTCCGAAAAAACCAGGAGAGCCGGCTCCCCTCTGGAGAAGGGGGTGTGGGGGCTGTGTAGGGCTGGAGGGGGAGAGGGCTCGAAAACAGCCTCGARGGGACCGAGCTGCGGGGGTACGTCGGGGTCTCTAAAATGCGGTGAACTCTGCCGAACGCCTGAAACGGRTTTTTATTTTAGCGTGTTTAATATAAAACTTTGCGATCCTGTGCTTTCTAGGCACATGTGCGCGTTGCCCTGGTTATGGGCAGGGAAAATAGGTTTGAGTGCTGTCGTTGCATTCCTCTGGTACATTTTTAGTGTCTCCCTCGAGCAGAAGGCTTGTATAATCGCRCTGTCTATATGCGACAGAGGCTTTCCGTGTACCTGGTGATGGGTTGACTCGTGCATGCTGTTGCAGCACCGGCTGGAAGAGGAATAAGGTCTTTTTCCTTTCAAAAATCTCCAAGAGCTAGTAGCTAGAACTAGATAGCTGCCAGTGTACGTGAAACGTTCCCACCTCTGGTCTGCTCAAAGGATATGCATCGTTCAGATGTAAAATACACGTGAATGAACTTCATGCTGCTATTTACACCCAGGACTTCAGTGTGGCCAAGCTGTTGCAATTTTTTTAATTGTGAGATAGGAAAAATGTGTGTATTACAGAAGTGCTAATGGCTCTCAGCTGAAGAATAATTGTTAGACTGCAGTATGCACATACATTTGCTCACCCACGGGGCATTTCTCTTGCCATGAGCTAAACTCAGAGTTAGTGGTGAGGGGATTTTGTGAGTGCACGTTTGCCTGCTTGTTTTGGCAAATAMGTGCTCCGTAATGTTGGGAACCACCGACGTGTTCACACGCATGCAGACATTTGTGAGCTCATCACATTGTAAATGTGCGTTGCAGGAATACAGGAATGAGTTACATTAGAATTGGTAAACCCAATTTTTATTAGATATGTATGTTGTAGGAAAGTTTTCCAGTTCATTGCTTGAACATAATATATTCAGTATTGTAATCTTATGGATGCCATTTTCTTGACAATGGATTTCTTGCTTCACTGACCTAAAAAGTTGTTTTTACATATTGGCATGACTCTGGCTTGCACCATGTAAATATGCTAAATATGATAAAATATGATTCTTGATGATAAGCTTACAAATACATACACGTGTGTCAGTATTTCCCAGGCAAGTTTTTACTTTATAAAGGCAGAAATGTAACTGTTGGTCTGATTTTTTTTGCTATAATTTTGGTGTCATTACAGCTTCTTTGTATTTTTAGATGATGTGTGTGTTTTTAGTTGTAGTTTCTTAAAGTCAGATTAAACATTGAAACACAAATGCATTTTCGTCACAAGCAGAAATGTATTAATTTTTTACCTTCTGCTATGTTTTCCTTGTGTTTGCAGTTCAATTTGTTTGGAATCAGATTTACCTATTTAGAGTTTAGTTYGATGTTTGCTTCYTGCTCAGCAAAATTGTCCATTAAATGTATTGTTTGTTGCATGCTTTACGATTCTCTTGTCCTCTTAATGTCTAATTTAAGTTGTACATAGCAGTATTGATTGAACACCGTTGCTAAAAATACTGTCAGGGTTGGGTACACTTACACTATAGCAGCAGCAAAGTTCAGCCAGTTTTTCTGTGACAATTAATTTATATTAGCAATTATTTTTGTAAAGCATGAATAAAAACCAAATTCCTGTAATCTTAGAAGTAATGCTAATGGCTCTGTGGAGTGGATGAGCTCACTGCTAATGAGCAGAGTTCATGTAGTACTATTTACATGTCACTGCCATTAACATATTTGAAATATATGATAAGTTAATACTCAGGGTATGTTATTTTGGCTCAGATYCTGCAGTGACCCCAGTTTGGGCAGAAGGATCCACGTACACAGAAGTGACTGCAGGAACTTGAGCTCAGAYACTGGTTTTGATTCAGTAGACGTTAGGCCTGTGTTTGTCATGGKCATTTGCTGTGTGTGAATGTTTGGCTGTGTTTGTGTGATGTCATAGGGGYTTCTGGGCACACAGAGCTCCAGGGCTGGTGCCCAGAGCAGCAGCCTAATACAATAGTGTGTGACATGATTACTGGGGATAAAGGGACTTTTAAAAGATTGCTTTCATATTGTAACAACATTGCTGAAAGGTCTTGAGCAGCATCTGGGGGTTCCATTTCACTGTGTCRTTGTTTATGGTGGTTATTTTATGAGTATTTTGATGACTGTAGATGGAAGTTTTGTGCATTGGTTTATGTGCACATATAGAAAGTGGGATGTGCACTCTGCAAGCGTGTTCTGGAGAACTGAGTGGAAGTTACGCTGGAGTGGAAGATAGCCAGCATGGGTCAGCCATAAGCTCGCCYGTATGTGGGAAATGAAGATGGAATAGCTTGCTTGGGGCAGTTTAGACTTCAGATGTAGTAAATAYGATGGGTGAATGTCTTCTGAAAATTATAGTGGATTGAATATTCTGTTTTAACTTTTCAGCTATTCAAGACTTTAATTAAAACAAACAGTAGGCATGTGCATGGTTTTTTTTGTTGTCGGAGTCARTGTTGTACTRTTTTCCTTAAACTGATAAATAGCACATTTCTGTGGTTTGTCTTCTTGGCTCTTCTTACTACCAGTAGTTTGATTCTCTGATTCATCATGATTGTGCCTTATTCTTCCCCTCCCCCAGTTTGGGTTTAAATTTTGTACAAGATCATATGAATCCCATGCCTTCACATCCTGTTTCTGTGTCACCTCACTTGCATTCGCACCAATTATACAATGGTCAAACAAGAGAATCTTTCAGCAGATGGTTGACTGTGCTTTTTTTTTTTTTTTTTTTTTTTTTTTTT